CACCCGGCACACACAGGACAAACACGCGATCGTTCGACCAGAACACACAGGAACCGTGAAACAAACGGCAACCACAACCCAGACAAAAAAAATACCGGAACACGCAGGACCCGGAAAAAAACACACACACACCAGAAGCACACACACAGAACACCATTTGAAACAGAAGATAATAGGCTAACACACGGAAAACACATTACAGTATGAACAAAATGTACACAAAGGTCTAAACTAGGCAAACAAAACAACCACATTGTAGACAATACAATAAGTTATAATCGTTCCTGAAGCATATAATGCAAGCACAAAACTAAGCATATTTACCGGGAAACTCCCTCTTCGGAAACCGCAAGCAATATGCCTCCCAAACGAGCTCGACATCATCAGATACCGGTCTACCAGGCGACGCACAAGGCTGAGGCATCAGCTCTGGCACCCCATAAACAAAACACTTCACCCTCGGTACCCAAATAGTATAGGGGCACCACGGCACCGGATACACCCGGCAATCCAAAGTAAGTTCCAAAGTCTGCGACACATCGAGCGGGACCCCAGAGACCGGTACCACAGGGAGGGGTGCAGCACGAGAGGTACGAGCACCAGGGGACGGACAAGGGTAGCCACAGAGGTCCGTATTGATAGTCACACGGTTCTTCACTCCAGGGGGAACCACAGGGAACGCACATTTGCCAGGGGCCCCGACCACCGGGTACAGGATTAGAGGCCTCCCGGCGCACAGGTTTCGTGAGGACCACCACGAGGTCACGCTCACTAGGGGCAACCTCCCAAGGAGGGGAGGAACCAGCAGTAGGCGCCGTAGGCGTCACAGGAGGCCGCACAGGCCCCTCCATCACATCCTCCTCCACAACTTCACACTCTGCAGCCCACCCACGAGGGGGGGGGGGAGACACTCCTAGCCCTCCGGGAACGGTCATCCTAGCCTCTGATCATCTGAACTGTCGGCCCCAGCAGGAGGCATCCCAGTAGAGCCCACAGCCGGCCGCAAGTCACCGGGCAACACACGATCCGGAAGCACATCAGCCTCATCCACAGGGGGTACAGGCCCACACCCTTCAGGTGACACAGGAGCTGGAGACGGGGCCAGCGAAGGAGCCGGCGGGGCCGGCGGAGGCGAAGAAGCCGACGGCGGGGGCGGGTCCGCACCCCCACCACCCCGACACCCACATCACCAACCGCACTAACTGGAGCGGCATCCATCACCGCAGTCGTTCTCTCACAAGGGGTATCATCCACAACCGAGACATCAGCTTCATGAAACATTTACCCGATCATACATCCGAGTGTCGCAGGCAGCAGCCAAATGTCCAACGTGGCCACATTTAAAACACGTCCGAGTCTGCCCACAGTAGGAGAAGCAGACCGTAAAGCCAGCAAGCGCGAGAGAAGAAGGCACATTCCCATGAAGAACCATCTTGGCCGTTCTGTAACCATTGCCGAGACCCTTGACGTCCCCGGTTGTGTATTTACAGACACGAATAGAGTCCACACGCCCATACGTGGCAAGAGCCCGACGGAGAAGATCTTCAGACATTTCAAACGGCGCATTCTTAATAGACACGTAAGTGTACTCCACACTCAAATTCGTCACAGTCACAGAGCCAAGACCGTTGCTCACCCCCACCACCTTGTCCACATACTGGTCGAGAAACCTCCGGAACAAGCCACTCTCTGCGAACTTCACAACTACTCTGTCGTCACGAACAACCTGTAGACCGACGAGATCTTCCACTTTCACACCCATAACTGCAAACAGAGTGTTGCTGACGACACCAATATCCACCCGACAGGTAAATGTCAGCCCAGCCGAGTCCTTCCTCCTTAGTGGCGGCACGTAAGTCCCCATACTTGACTGAAAAACAGTCACCCCTCAGTGGCAAACAACCACCCGTCAGGGTAACCAACAATCACCCAATGTAAACACCAGCAGGGAGACCAGGGGAACGTCCGTTCCGGCTGGTGGTTGCCACCACACTCCTCTCTCGCTAACGACACTTGCAGTTACATCCACACCTGCCTGAATCGCTATGCATGTTTGTACTCACCTAAATAAATAAATAAATAAATATAAATAAATATGTTTATTCAGGTAAGGTACATACATACAAGTGATGTTACATTAATGGATTGATATATAGATAGAGCTAGTACATACAATACCTAAAGCCACTATTACGCAATGCGTTTCGGGCAAGTTGTTCGGGCCTAGTTGTACTTGCGGGGGTTCAGCTTTGACTCAAGGGGTCCCGCCTCTCAACCGTTAATCTACTGATGTACAGATTCCTGAGCTTCTCGAGCTCCATCATATCTACATTTGAAACTGTGCATGGAGTCAGCCCCACCACACTACATCCCTATTACATTCCATTTACTAACTACTCTAACACTGAAAAAGTTCATTCTAATATGTCTGTGGCTCACTTGGGTACTCAGCTTCCACCTGTATCCCCTTGTACGTGTACCACCCGTGTTAAATAATCCATCCTTGTGTTCCCTGTCAATATTTCCCTGAGAATTTGTATGTGGTGATCATGTCTTCCTGTGCTCTTCTGTCTTCCAGCGACGTGAGGTGCAGTTCACGCAGCCTTTACTTGTAACTCATGCCTCTTAGTTCTGGGACTAGCCTAGTGGCATACCTCTGAACTTTTTCAACTTCGTCTTGGGATTGACAAGGTACGGGCTCCATGCTGGGGCCGCATACTCCAGGATTGGCCTGGAGTGGCTTTGCAAGAATGTTTGTTGTTGTTTTAGATTTAGCTACTCAGAACGAAGTGGCCATGTAGCACGGACTATGGTGAGCCCGTAAATGCAAGAATGTTCAAATACCAATCTTATGTAAGCTCATCAACCCATTGTACCTTCTTGAGAATAAATTATTATTATTAGTAATATTATTATTAATATTATTATTATTCACTAACTATTCATGACATGTATAACAAGTCCCCCAAGGTTTCCAGGAACCACTCAAGACAGCGACCTGACAAATAGTGAAGGAAACTGGGTTCAACACCAGGCCGGGTGGACGCAGATACAACGGTCAGAGACACAGCATCAGTAATCGAGTTCCATCTCTCACACCAGACACTACAAGCCTCGCCACACAGCGAACACCCAAGCCTCGTCTCAGTCCAGCTGTCCACTCCCATCCTCCTCCCAGCCCTCAGCTCCCACCCTCGTCCCAGCTCTCCAGCTCCGGCCACACTCAAGCTATGTGCTCCAGGTCTCTCTGCTTCCGGCCGCCGTCAGCAGCACGTCCCCCCTGACTCCGGCAGCAGTACGTCGCCCCTGACTCTGCCAGCAGCACGTCGCCCCCTGACTCTGCCAGCAGCACGTCGCGCCTGACTCCGCCAGCAGCACGTCGTCCCCTGACTCCGCCAGCAGCACGTCGCGCCTGACTCTGCCAGCAGCACGTCGCCCCCTGACTCCGCCAGCAGCACGTCGCGCCTGACTCCGCCAGCAGCACGTCGTCCCCTGACTCCGCCAGCAGCACGTCGCGCCTGACTCCGCCAGCAGCACGTCGCCCCTGACTCCGCCAGCAGCACGTCGCCCCTGACTCCGCCAGCAGCACGTCGCCCCTGACTCCGCCAGCAGCACGTCGCCCCTGACTCCGCCAGCAGCACGTCGCGCCTGACTCCGCCAGCAGCACGTCGCGCCTGACTCCACCAGCAGCACGTCGTCCCCTGACTCCGCCAGCAGCACGTCGCGCCTGACTCCCCGCCAGCAACACATCGCGCCTGACTCCCCGCCAGCAGCACGTCGCACTTGACTCCGTCAGCAGCACGTCGCGCCTGACTCCCCGCCAGCAGCACGTCGCACCTGACTCCGTCAGCAGCACGTCGTCCCCTGACTCCCCGCCAGCAGCACGTCGCGCCTGACTCCCCGCCAGCAGCACGTCGCGCCTGACTCCCCGCCAGCAGCACGTCGCCCCTGACTCCGTCAGCAGCACGTCGTCCCCTGACTCCCCGCCAGCAGCACGTCGCGCCTGACTCCGCCAGCAGCACGTCGTCCTCTGACTCCGCCAGCAGCACGTCGCGCCTAACTCCCCGCCAGCAGCACGTCGTCCTCTGACTCCGCCAGCAGCACGTCGTCCTCTGACTCCTCCAGCAGCACGTCGCGCCTGACTCCGCCAGCAGCACGTCGCGCCTGACTCCCCGCCAGCAGCACGTCGTCCTCTGACTCCGCCAGCAGCACGTCGTCCTCTGACTCCTCCAGCAGCACGTCGCGCCTGACTCCGCCAGCAGCACGTCGTCCCCTGACTCCCCGCCAGCAGCACGTCGTCCCCTGACTCCCCGCCAGCAGCACGTCGCGCCTGACTCCGCCAGCAGCACGTCGCGCCTGACTCCGCCAGCAGCACGTCGTCCCCTGACTCCGCCAGCAGCACGTCGCGCCTGACTCCGTCAGCAGCACGTCGCGCCTGACTCCACCAGCAGCACGTCGTCCCCTGACTCCGCCAGCAGCACGTCGCGCCTGACTCCGCCAGCAGCACGTCGCCCCGTGACTCCGCCAGCAGCACGTCGCACCTGACTCCGCCAGCAGCACGTCGTCCCTGACTCATCAATCATCCCCGCCAAACTCATCACGTCTCCGTCCTACTATTTCTAACATCCAGCTGCTTTAAATAAATTATAATAAATACACATTGAAAAACTACCATCCTTATTGTTGTTACGAAAAATGGTATATATTAGAGCCGTTTCCTTAAAAAAATTGAACAGAGCCTTAATACACATTAATTATTAATGTCTAACATGATATTGAAGCAAACAGCGAGCCAACAAAAATTATCGTTGTCCCTCATTAAATAAATGTACACATTTTCTGTGATAAGTTAAAATTTAAAAATCTTAATCGATACTAAAGAGATTGTCACAATTTTACATTAATGATGAATTGTATTATATAATTAGATTAAATACAATTTTAGACATTTAGAAAAGTGTAAAAAATAAGACCAAAATAATATAGTGGAGAGTATGACGTCAGGCGAACAATGGCGGAATACGCGGGAAAAAGTGTGAAGAGGACGTGCCGGAGTTGGCGGGAGTTGTTGTTGCTGGTGGAGGCGAGGTGAGGCAGGTGAGGCCCTGACTGTTGCGCGTCCACACGCCCCTGACACCCACCACCTGGTAGCTCACACCTCGCGCCACCACCATGTCTGCGTCGCCCAGTAAGACTGTTAGTGCCAGCCCCAAGAGCTCGCCCTCCAAGAAGGAAATGTGAGTGTTTGTTCCGCTGCGGCCCGCGGCGCCTGTCCTGGTAGACGGGTAGTGTGCGGGACGGGTAGACGGGTTACAGGTAGACGGGTAGTGGTGGGGACGTGTAATGTGGGGGACGGGGAGGGGGGGGGGTGTAGGCCAGGGCGTGTGGGGTCTGGTCCCTGGTGATGCCTGACGTGTACGCCGCTTGTGGCCTGTGTATTACATGTAGTAAGGTGTCTCTCCTGAAGGAGTCCTTCCCTGGGCGGTGTGGGGGGCCTGGTGTGGGTAACGGCGGGTAGTACAAGGGGCTCCACACTACACACAGCGAGCTGTGACGAATTTCGAAATCTGGAAAGCCATTTGGCTTTCCAGATTTCGAAATTCTTCACAGCTCGCTGTGTAACTTGAGTACCGAGTAAGTTTCATAAGCTGTAAAGACCCCTGAAAAAAGCTCTCTAAATCTGTCTTAAAACCATATTTGCAAGAGCTTAATTTAAATATTGGCCTTCCTTACCCGTGACAACCTGGCCACTAGTATGCTTAGTGGTGTCTCATTGTTGGAAGATTTACTTGTCTTGAGGCTGGTTACCAGTATGGTGGTGGTGAGGGGGGGGGGGGAAGTGCAAGCCAGAGGTTGTGTGGTGGGTTTAGTGTAGAGGGAGATGCATGGGGTGCCAAATAACCTTCACAATTCCTGGAAATGCCACCATGGAACAGTTGATCAGCCTACCTTGACCACTGTGCTACAGCCTACCAGCATTCAATTATTTAACCTTCAGTGAGGAAGAAATGGTCATATCTGCCTCTGCACAAAATTTTTTATTACCAATTTGCATGGTTTAAGAAACACTAGGTGAATATATACAGTAGTTTCACTAAGTGGAGGCATCTGGAAGGCTGCGTCTGGTATGTCAACACTCGGTGCTACACTTTGCCGACACTTTGTTCACTTGTTTTTTGTTATAAAAGCTGTGGATGTAAATATCTAAGTGCATCATACATATAAAACCCAGAAAATAACTTTAAATCATATCACATTTCCCTAGTAACATTCATAACAGCGCGGGGTGAGCGGTTTACCACTATGCCACGGGGATGGCTTTTGATTTCTAGATTATTCAGCTAGCAGTATATACAACTGGGTGTTAGGCAACTAATTTGAGGTTGCATCTTTGTCTTGATGCCACCATGAAATGTGTACGTGGGCTTGTCCTAGATAAAACCAGTTCTTGTACTGTGTACAAGCTTTTATCTTTGGCCTTATGTTACTACATGTAATAGGTGCCATAAATATTGCACAAGGTTTTTCAAACTTTACTGTACCAAATTGAACACCTTTGCATAAGTAGTAGTAGGTTCATATCTTTGATCATGGTACCCCACCTTAGTCTAGTGTTAAGTAATATATGAAAATACTGTACACTAGTGAACAAAACAATCAAATCTGCCTGCAGTTAGAAAGCAGCATGTAAAGGATCTGGGAACAATGTCTGACAACCTAATGATTAGGGAGCATAACCAAGCAAGTATTGTCAGCCAGAAAAATAGGATGGATTATGAAAACCTTTAAATCCAGGGATCCCATCACAATGGTTGTACTGTACTATTAAAATCGCTTGTGCTGTCCCATCTTGAGTACTGCTCGGTACATGGTTCCCCTTCAGAGCAGGATAGATTGCTGAAAGAGGGAATACATAAAACATATGGCATAGATGCAATAAAGCACCTAAATTATTGGGATAGTCTCAAAGCTCTGCAAATAAGTACTCTAGCAAGGAGACGAGAGATGTGTAAAATTTACACGTGGAAAATACTGGGGGCCCAGGTCCCAAATCTACATGGTAAAATAACACACTGGAAATATGGAAAGAAAATGCAGAATAGAAAGTGAAGAGCAAAGGTGCCATAAGCACAGAGAACACTGTATAGACATCAGAGGTCCACGGTTCTCCACTCCCGGAGAACATCCTCCCAGCGAGTATAAGACATATTCCTGGAACTGTGGACATGGAGAACTAGTTTTCCAAAGAAGTACCAAATCAACTGGGCTGTTGTGGATGTGGGCCTGTTGGCCTATCAAAGCAACAGCCTGTTGGACGGAGCTCACAAATAAAGCCTGGCCCCGGGCTGGGCTTGGAGTAAATTACTCCCAGAACCACATTCAGGTACAATGTGTGGAAGGAAAGCATCATTGTATCACCACATACCCTACACACTGAAGTCATGGTTTTGTCCAGGTTTGTGACCTGGACATGGTCACAAGTAACAATGTTCTTTTGGGAATAGTATGCCATGCCTTTAATCTGAATGAAAATGAAGTTGAAGCAGTTGGAAAACCCTGATTTCAGGAGAAGACGGTCAAAAAAATAGGGCAGAAAATTTTTCCTGCCTTATTTTTGTAGTCTGTAAAAATTAAAGGTTGACTGCTATGGCGGTATGTTCACTCAAGATGAGTGGCGCTGCCCAATAAACTCGCCCCTCGGGGCAAAATTTAAAAAAAAATTAAAGGTTGCTGTTTATTCCTGTATCTTGATTGTTGGTATCAAACACCAAAGGTCCAAGGGCAGACCCTCAGGGTACCTTGAGGTTACCTTGTTACCTTGATTTCGGGACTTGGCGTCTCCACGGCCCGGTCCTCGACCAGGCCTCCAGGTACAACTTAAATTTTAACTAGTCCATTTATACTAACTTTTAAGACTATTACATTGTCCAACTTAAGATAGGACTTGTAAGATACAGTACTGTGTAGTGTTGATGGAACACTGTAAAAATCCTTTCCACTGTACATGGCTTCAAATACAGTAGTAAAAGGGTACCTCGGTTTAAGAATTTAATCCGTTCCTAGAGACGGTACGTAACCTGAAAATTCGTAAACCGAAGCCAATTTCCCCATGAGAAATAATGGGACATTAATCCATTCCTGACTCCCCAAAACCTTCACTTCAAAGTCAATTTTATACCTAATTCACCCAAATTTACACGACAAATGTTAGTTACTACTTACCCTTGCTGATGACTCCTGTTGGCATATAGAAGATGGTGAGGAGGAGAGGTATTACTGTTTGGAAGAGAAGTACCCTTCCATTATAACATCACAGTAAAGATTTCTCTGGAGTGTACTCTGGCATGTTTTGCCTGCATACCACTAGGTCCTGGTTGGGGCTCGCTGCTTGAATTTCTCACTTTTCTCAAGGAAATGTTCCATTGAAGATTTTTTTCCCTTCGCAACATTTGTCTGTAGTGAGGCATCACATTGTCATTGAAAAGATTAATGCATCGGCCTACTACAGCTTTCTCTGGAGGAATCTTTTCAATAAGTTTGCATTTCTTCCCACATCTGACACCACTTCCTAATTGTTGTGGAAGAGTGAGTCTCTTCTACCTCATCCTCCTCTGAAGAAATATCCTTAGCTGCCTCTTGTTGCTGCTCCTTTTCAAGGGCTTGGAGTTCTTTGGTGGTCAGTTCTTCGTTGTTCTTCCAACTCCTCCACCACCCAATTCCAAGCCCATTTTCTGGTCCAGAGTAACAATTTCCTCAACAATAGGCGCATCATTTCCAGGCTCAAACCCCTCAGTCTAGTTCTGGCACATTCAGGCCACAATTTTCTCCAGCCAGAGATCAGGGTTCTTTGAGTTGCCTCTTGCCAGGCTTTGTCAGAGTTTTAAAGAACTACAAATGTTAAAATGGTGTTTCTAGAACTCTTTCAGGTTGAGGTTTATGGCTTGTCACTTAAAAACATTTCCAGAAAAGTGCCCTTTCATAAAGTTTCTTAAAATTCGCTGTGATTTTCTGGTCCATAGGCTGAATTAGAAGTGGTTAGGAGGGAGCTTTACTATGAGAAAATTATATATGTTCAACAATGCATCTTCCAAGCCTAGAGGATGAGCAGGAGCATTGTTGAGGAGAAGCAGGGCCTTGAGTGGCAAACTTTTCTCCTGCAGATATTTTTGAATGGCAGGGCACACCACATCATTCACCCACTCCTTAAAAAAAAAAAAATCCTAGTCACCCATGTCTTATTTATTAGCCCTCCACATCACACAAATTTGTTTGAAAATACTTTTCAAAACCCTTGGATTTTCAGAATGATACACGAGCAAGGGTTTAATTTTCAAATTGCCACTCGCATTTCCACACAGCACAAACATAAACCTATCATTCATAGGCTTGTCTGGGCAATGATTTCTCCTTAGTAATGTATGTCCTGTTAAGTAATCTTTTCCAGAAGTTGTCTCATCACAATTAAACACTTGTGGTAGGTATCCCTCAGTCTACAAACTCTTTAAATTTTTCAAAAAATCTTTCAGTTGCTGGTTTGAGCTGGCAGCCTCCCCATGCCTTGCAACACTATGAATACCACTTTTTCAAAATTTGTCAAACCATCCCCGGCTTGCCGTAGTCTTTCGTATCTGCACTCACTCCAGGGGTTTTCTTTATAAGGTCTTCGTGCAATACGCTGGCTTTATCACAAATGATGGCCTCTGAAACACTATCACCCGCTAACTCCTTGTTGTGTATCAAAATTGTGTTGTTGGGGAAGTCTTGGTTGTAGGGTTGATATAAAGCCGTTGCTTGGTTACTGACTTTAATACTTATAAAGATACATGACTAGCAGTGTCCCAAGCTTGGCGGGTGTCTTGTACGCTCTGTTTACATACTGCTGGCGTTTGAAACGCAGCGCATACAAACTGGTGCTGCTGTTCGTTATGAACATGACATCCCTCCTTTTCTTAATAACTTTTTGCCCACATCCTCAAGTATTTGTAGTCTTTGTTTTGTGATTGTTGATATGCCTTTTGCCACTTTAGCACTCGTGTCCCTTTTTTCTTGGCGAGTACAGTGCATATCGTTGACATGGATTTGTTGTACTGCCTAGCTAGTTCAACAACAAGAGTTCCATTTTCATGCTTACGAATGATCTTGTTTTTCCTCAATTGTCATTCTCGCATGCGATTTCTTGCCTTGAACCTTACCACTGGCTTTCTTGGGACCCATGGCGAGATATGTAATAAACTTT